TTGGTCAAAGAAAACATTAAATCTAACAAAAGCTTAACCCAAAATATCCAGGAAATATGGGATACCATGAAAAGACCAAAGCTAAGAATAACATGGATAGAAGAAGGAGAAGTCCAACTCAAAAGTAGAGAAAGTATATTCAGCAAAATCATAGAAGAAAAATTTTCCAATCTAAAGGAAGATATGCATATGAAGATACAAGAAGCTTACAGAACACCAAATAGACTGGATCAAAAAAACAAAGTCCCCTCACCACATAATAATCAAAACATTAGACATACAGAATAAAGAAAGAATATTAAGAGCTGCAAAGGAAAAAGGCCAAGCAGCATATAAAAGCAGACCTATCAGAATTAGACCTGACTTCTCAATGGAAACAATGAAAACCAGAATGTCCTGGTCAAGTGTTATGCAGACATTAAGAGACCATGGATGCCAGTTCAGACTACTATACCCAGAAAAACTTTCAATCACCATAGAAGGACAAAACAAGATATTCCATGACAAAAACCAGATTTAACCTATACCTAACCACAAACCCAGCCCTACACAAAGTACTAGAAGGAAAACTCCAATTAAGTAAGTTGACTACATCAACAAAAACACAGACAATTGATGATCTCAAAGCAGCAAATTCCAATGAAGGGAAAACACACACACAATAATATCACCAACAACAAAAACTAAAATAACAGAAACTAGCAATCACTAATCATTATGTCCCTTAATATAAATGGACTCAACTCTCCTTTAAAAAGTGTGCCTGATCTAATGGGAGCTCACCAAAGCCAGCTGGACTGGGTCTGAATGAGCATGTGATCAAACCAGACTCTCTGAATGTGGCTGACAATGGGGGCTGACTGAGAAGGCATTGATAATGGCACTGGGACCTGTTTCTACTGCATGTACTGGCTTTTTGGGATCCTAGTCTGTTCGGATGCACACCTTCTTAGGCCTGGATGGAGGGGGGAGGGCCTTGGACTTCCCACACAGCAGGGTACCCTGCCCTTTCTTAGGATTGGAGAGGGAGAGAAGAGGGTGAGTGGGGAAGCAGGAGGGAAATGGCCAAGCAGCATTGTGATTAATATAGTTTCTATGTAATTATTCGAGTCTGGGCAGCCGGGAACGACGGACTAGTCTCCATTTACATTCCTTAAATAGGCCAGCTTGTGTCTGCCTCAGGATCTCATAACAGTCACTAGTCTCCTTGCCTGGGAATTTATATTTCATATTTTCACAGAGTTCGCTCATGTCATTTATGGTCCTGCATAACTGTTACCCCAGAGACACCTTCATAATTCTGTATCAGACACAGCCCCCCCGCCCCAGCTGTGCACACTTCATAATTCTGTATCAGACACAGCCCGCCCCCCGCCCCAGCTGTGCACATATCTTGGGAGATTTGCTTTATTTAAATGGCACTCCTCACTATCTGAACCCAGTCATCCTGCCTGCCTCCCAAAATGAAGCTTTTCCTAGTGGGAAAACTGGGACTGGAACCCAGTGGCTGCTGTGATCAAACGCTGTTGATCCCCTTTGCCTGCCCATAGAGGCATGCGCTTTGACATGAGAAAAGACTTGATGGGCACCTGCGGCCTAGGAATATCTCCTTCTATTATGGGACTAAGCCTAATTGATGACATTTTAGCAAATTTAGCATTTTCCAGCAACCTGAAGCTTTTCTTAGAGGTGTAAAGTTTCCTGCAGTGTTTTACAAGTCCGGTCGGTGGCTTCTCACCCTGGGCTTCTCCTTTCTAATCTAAATTCTACTTTGTGTGCTTTAGTATGTCCTAAGCAACTTTAGTAAATCCTTTATAATAGGATCTGCTATTCCCACTTCCTTCCTTATCAAAAGAAATGCCGAGGACTTAAGGGGTCCTGCAGGGACACCACGGGGTGGAGACGCTGCTCACCCAGGACCAAGTTTGTATTGTTGCTCCTTGGAAAGTACTGGAGACTAGCTAAGAACATGAGCTAGGGATCTTGAACCTATAAAAGCTGCTCCTTTGTGCTTCTGCCCGTAGTCTTAAAACTCCTTACTACATGGAACATGCTAAAACACACTTTTGAACTAAACACTTTAATAGGAATGTATCCTGCAATGGATGTATTTTTAACACATTTCCGTTTCTTTTGTCCCCCTCTAAAGCTGTCAAGAAAAGCCAGGACCACAGTAGGACTTTTTTAAAATTGAAAACAACGTCAAAACTCTGCAGTGGTAGCTAATGCCTTTAGTCTAAGCACTACAGAGGCAGAGACAGGCAGATCTCTGAAGCTAGCCTGGTCTACATGGAGAAAATATGTCTCAAAAATAAAAAAGAAGAGAAAAAAAAGCAACTTCAGTTAAGTGATTGTATATGAACAAAATTAATTAATGGAATCCTGCAGCCATAAAATGTGATAGCCAGTGTGCATCAGAGATCAGCCACTCTCGGGTTGTAAAGCCTTTCCTCTTTCTCCCTGCCCCCCCAAATCTGTCCGTCTGTGAAAAAGAAATCTGTTCCCTTCCCAATGGAAGACCTGAGGCAACTGGCCCTCTGGCAGTCAAGAAAGGCTAGGTGTTTAGTTCTGGCCATTTATAGCCTGAAACAAAGATCTGTTTATCTCTTTTAGCCCTAATTAATTGACCATGAAGTCTTCATGTTCCTAATAACACAGTTGAAATGTGGCAGAAGGGACATCCCTCAGCCTAAAGCAATGGCTGGTAAAGGAAAATGTCTGCCGTGAAGTCTCCCAGATCCATACTAGATTTGCAGGGACGTTAGAAACAAGCTTTGCTGTGGTACCACTGAGATGTTGGCATCTGGCCACGGCACACTGTAGTTTATGTTGGCCCGTAGAACTGGTTGCTGAGGAGGAACTGAAAGGATTATCACTTTGAAATACCTAGTAAGATGTGGCAACCATAAACTGAAACAAGAAAGGAGCCCTGCAGGATTGCTTGGCACGCAGAGTGGAGCCAGAGCAAGGTATGGAAATAGAAGCTAGCTGTTGTATAATGATTACAGCTAGGAAGCTTCTTTGTGAGTCTAAAGATGTAGTGCTTTTTTTCCTTTGAACTCCTAGAAATATTTGAGTAAGTTTTGGGAGCTTTGGATTCTGCCTTAAGTAAGTTATTTTCAAAACAATAAAGTTCTTTGGTGGTCTGCTGTCTCAGAAAATGAAATATGCCAAACCTTTCCCCTGTTAACGGAAGAATTCAGTGAGCCACGTTACCCTTAGCAACGAAAGAGTTGCAGAACAAACATGATGCAATAATTTAAAGGTGTAGTAGTAGCATACGTGCTTTGGTGGTAACCAACAGCTCTCTAATTGGACTTAAGAGTCACTCAACAACAGGGGTTCCATGCCTGGTACTGGAAACCAAGCTCAGTGTTGGAGAAACCATGTTTTGGGGAGAAAAGTCTACAACCACTAATCTACTAAACCAGCATAATCCCTAACAACAATTCACAAACATTTGTCCTCATACCCACAGATAAGTGTAGTCTTTCCTCTTCCTCAAGGAAACTTCTCTTTGCAACAGATGGATACAACTACAGAAAATCCCAAACCAATATCCAGAATTGTGGAACCCAGTACCAGGATGCATCTACAAAATACTCCCACACCTAAGGTTCAGGAAACATTGTGGAAGGAGGGCCGGAAAGACTGTATGAGACAAACGATCAGGGAGTCTGCTGTTAGGTTGTGTGTCCTAGTAACATCATAGGTTGCACCTGTAAGATCTCACCAACATGACTGCTCAAATGTGAGTTGAACAAAGGATACCAATAAACATGTCACACTGCACCAGAAAAGCCCAGGAGATGATGCGGGAGAATTGTCTGTATTCTGTCAATCATATTTTAATAAAACGCTGATTGGCCAGGCAGGCAGTATAGGTGGGAAAACCAGATAGGAAGTAGAAGTGATGCAATGAGAACAGGAGAATTCTGGGAAGCAGGGAGGTTCCTCTGTCACTCCTGCGCAGACCACCGAAGAGGCAACATGTAAGCTGTCACATTGAGAAAGGTACTGAGCCCGTGTGGCTAACATAGATCAGAATAATGGGTTAAGATAAGTCATAGAACTAATAAGAAGCCTGACATAATGGGCCAATCAGCTTTATAACTTATAGAGATCTCTGTGTGATTGATTTTCGTTGGGAGTTGCCGGTTGTGGGGTACCGGGCGGGACAGAAACCCCAACAAGCCGGCCCTCATGTTACAAGGAGACCTCAGCCTTACACAAAGAGTTGCATATGGTGTTCCTTCCCAAGAATACCACTCCAATTGGTTGTCCAGTGCCAAACAGCCCTGAAAGCATACATACAAATAACATTATAAGGATTCAACAGGTTATGTTTGGAAATATATATACACATGATTAGCAATTGATTAAAAATAGGCCAAGAATATGGAAAAGTTTGGAGGAAGGACAGGGAAGAAAAAACTAATTAAAATAGAACCTCAAAAATAAATGAAGAGCTGGGCGGTGGTGGCGCACACCTTTAATTCCAGCACTTTGGTGGCAGAAGCAGGCGGATCTCTATGAGTTCAAAGCCAGCCCGATCTACGGAATATACAAACAAAAAAAGAGTAGCAGAGTTGAGGGACTTGAAATCACCCAATATTTTGGTAATTTGAGGCAATTTATAGTTTTCACCTTGAGATCTAGATGACTCAAAATGTACCTCACTGATTAACTGGCCTCTTCAGACACCAGGGCTCTGAGAGAAAGAAAAGCACATGTCCTTATTCACTCACTTGTCTCTCCGTCAGTATCTGTTATCACATAAATATTCAGTAAACATGAATGGATGTGAGGCAAGACCAACCAAGTACCTTTAATAGGTTGTCCTAAAGGGCTAAGGATACACAATTCTGAATTTTAATATGTGGCTGCATTAGTATGAAGATAAATATTTTTAGTGTGGTAATAGAAATTTGGTTGAAGCAGCTCTTCCTGTGGTGTTATTTGGTAAAATGAACAATTAATGCCACTTTAATTCTTCCAAGGTCTTTCTGTTTCAAAGACTGGAGTGTATTTCTGCAGACTGGAACATTCTGGTTAATGGTTCAAGAAGATAAAATAAAGGAAGAAAGGAAGAAAGAAAGGAAGGAAGGAAGGAAGGAAGGAAGGAAGGAAGGAAGGAAGGAAGGAAAGAAGGAAGAAGCAAACAAGCTTGAATCATCTGAATGAACGTTCTAAATTATGTAAGAATTCATTAAGATGAAAATAAACAACTAAATGAAAATTCACCTCTGCTTGTTTTATGTATTTCCTTGAAAAATAATATATAATCTATAATCTTCAATATAATATGTAGATGCTATTCTTTTTATTTATACAACTTTAAAATTTTAAATGTTGGTATGGCTAGGATCTTAAATGTCTACTCCAAGTCTAAGTATTAGAAGGTTAGCTGCCAGCCTGTGGCACTAGGGCTGGGGCTACTGTAAGTGTTACAGTTCTGAGAGGAAAGGCTTCTCCATTGGAGTGTTTCAGCTCCAAAGAGAAAGGTATCCTGGATGAAGGAAGTCAAGGAATACCACAAAGTCACACCACACAGCAAACCACTCAAGAGATTTATTGGGAAAGACACAGGAGGGCGGCTGCCTCTGCTCAGGTGAGAAGCAGCAAAGAACCGAACAGGAGGCAGGCTTGATATAGGGTTTCTTGGTAGGTAGAGTTTTCCCGGGTGGAGATTTACAGGGTGGGATTTTGTGGGATTTCAAGTCAAGCCCAAGGATTGGTAGTGTTTCGAGTGCAAGAAACCAATCCTTTTGGTGAGTTTTCAAGCCTGGAAGTGGGCTCAGACCTTTTGCCCTATAGGTACTTTTAGGAAATTGGCCTTGGGGAAAATTTAGGCAAGTGAGAGTGTGCTCTTTAAAGGGTAGTGGGACCCAGGGTGCTCTCAGTCTTTTGGTTACTATCTGGTAAGCAGACTATTTTATGCTATAATACTACAGACCGAAGGCAACGCAGCCGACCATCCGAAAACTCGACACTCTGAAACCATGAGCCCAAATAAATGTTTTGTCGTCTAAAGTTTATTGTGTCAAGTATCTTGTCCCAGTGATGGAAGGCTGCTTTCTACTACTCTTGTTCAAAAGAGGGAGGACACGTTTGTTCCAAGGAGGAGCCAGAAGTCAGGCTCTTTCATCAAAGCAGTCATAGGAGAGGAAGCCTAGAAGAAGCCAAGATTTTGCAAAGTCTGATGGCTGTGCATTTTCAACACATTTGGACCACAGACATATTTCAATGGAAAAGATAAGAGGAATTAATTATAGCTACCGAGAAATCTACATATACTGGCTGACTTGCCTTTTTTTTTTTTTTTCAGTAATTCCTTCCCCAGATTGGAGTAGAACTAGAAAAAGAGGGTCCCATCTCTGTAAATAGTGCGCTACCAGGAAAATCTTGATTTTGTATATTTTGCTCCCAGGAGCATTAGAATTGAAGCTGAATCTTACAGAACACTACACACACACACACACACACACACACACACACACACCAACTGCACATTATCTGTCCTCTTCAAAAACTGGTAACTGACTTTTCTGTTTCTTAAAACTCCTCGAAGCTCTCCACTTTTGCCTGGACAATGGAGCAGTACTACAGAGCGCCAGAGAAACAGATGCCGCAGGACCTATCTAACTTACCTTAGATGTTCTCCTCCTTCAGAAAGGTTTATTTAGTCAGTAGCATAATTTTATTGAGAGTCATTTTAATTGAAATCGATAACTGTTTTTCTATTCACTAGAATGCACCGTGAGTTACAGTGAGCACCGCACGCTGTAACGTTGGGCAATTTTAAGCTGTGTGAACCATTTAGGTGTCTCTATCCCCAATATCACAAAATTTGCTGAGAACTTCTTATTAAAGGGAATAATTTTCAGGTTGTAAAACCTTTCGAGTGGTGTCAACGATAATTGGAAGTGTGATATAACTAGAGGATAAAGATTCTTAATAGATGAAAACACAGTGGTGACGATGTACTGTGGTTTGTAGGCTGTGGTACAGCAATTTCATCAGAATTGGAGCATTCCATACGGTAAGGGAAAGAGAGGAATCTCAGGAGGTAAACAAACTACACATGTCTGGGGAAGATGAACTGTGTGAGATTTCAGATCGTCCCTTCCCAGCTTTAGGGTGACAGTGAACAGCCGCTGGCAGAGGGGACTCTGGTCAGCCAAGTGGTAAAAGGAGGTCTCCCTGCTTGTTGAGCTTCCTGGAGTTAGTACAGAGCATCCCAGGGAGGGAGATTTCATCACTGGTGTGGGCCAGGCCTTTTTGTGACGTAGAAGCTTCTGAGTCATCCTCATTCCTGTAAGCAACTCATCACCATACTTCTGTTAGTAGTCCTGATAAAAAGTAATTGGCTCACAAAGGCTTTCGTCTTCCTGGGGTGAGTAGGTGTAGTGTGTGTTATGTCTCCCAAAGAAATGTTCTCATGGCAAACTCCAAGGGCAGCGGAGACAATGGGCAATGATGGATGGATACAGAGATAAAATAGTGACTGTAGAAAGAACCAGGTTGTCCTATGGGTAGGATACAATACCCTCGGAGTAAACCATGTACATTTTATACATTCCTGCAAAGTACTATACTAGGGGTAGAAATTGTTTGTTTAGTTTGTGGCTATCTCAGAAACCAGGTATGACCGAGTAGTTACGGTCGTGGTTCAGGTCAAGAGTTACCAGACCCTGGATGGGGTACAGCTTGGCCTACAGGTGTCCATCTCCCTAGGCCTCAACTAATCCAAACAGATTGAGATGATCCCACCAACTTCATGGAGAAGGAAAACACACAAAGGCAACCCAGGATGAGAAAACAGACAATGGGTAGAAGTTATGAAACCTTTGACTATTGTTAGGTTTTTTGCTATGTGCATTGGCATTTTTCCTGCATGTATGTCTGTGTGAGGATGTCAGACCTTGAAGTTACTGACCGTTGTGAGCAACCATATGGGTGTTGGGAATTGAACCTGGGTCCTCTGGAAGAGTAATCAGTGCTCTTAACATCTGAGCCATCTCTCTCCAGTCCTGCTGTGTTAGCTTTTACTAAAGATTTTAGCGTTCTCTTAGCTGTTAGACCCCAAGACCAATTCACTTAAAATGTCAGCCATGGACCTTCAGAGTAGCCCTACAAAGATTACCTCCACACTCTCACTATTTGCCACGGGACAGGGACTAGTGATCCAGAGCCTTGGCTGCTGATCTTACTTAACCTCTGTAAAAAGATTCCATTACAGAGATGGCATAAAACTAACCCTTGAGTGTTTCACAACTTGAGAAAAGCATCCAAACAATATACAGGGGCACAGGAATGTCTAGTTTTAATGGCAACATACCACAAATTAGAATCACCTGGGTAGAGAGCCTTACCTAAAGAATTACCCCGATTCCCTTGATTGATGTGGGAAGACCTACTCCAAGTGAGGGTGACCCATGGGTGGCACCTTATGGTTGCTTCCTAAGGATCAGCAGTTTTCCAGAAACATCTCAAGGTTTGTTTCTTGCTGTTGGTTTTTGGTTGTGTTTGTTTGTTTTCAAAACAGGGTTTTTCTGTGTAACAGCTCTGGCTGTTCAGAAACTCACTCTGTAGACCAGGCTGACCTCAAGCTCAGAGAGATGCGCTTGCCTCTGCCTCCTGAGTGCCGGGATTAAACCGCTGGGCACATCTCCAGGTTTTAAGGGCCAAATTAGGACTGCTGAGGTACCCACCGTTGTGAACTTAGCCACTACTGATTGCCAGCCTCTCCAGTGTGAGACAATCATCACGGGACTGCTCTGACAGCTAAAGTACCCAGGCTCAAAGAGCAAGTAACTATTCAGTTTCTAACTTCTTGTGTTTGAGACAGGTGTCATTGCTATTTTAACTTAAGCTGATTTAATAATCTTCAGTATATATTCAGCCTGTCAGCTCTGTTTCTCTAGAGACCCCCAGCTAATACATGCACCAAAAGGAATGACAACAGATCCATCCACACAAGGTGCCAGGACAAGGCACAGCTGTAAAATTCCTAAGAATATTATGGCCTGGTAACTGTATGATGCCTGACATTATTGAGAGAATTCTACCACAGCCTGTGCCTACTGCAGATACACTTGGGGCTCCTGAGAAATTGATGAGTTTTCATACACCACCCTGTTCAAGTTGCCTGTCCCTTGTATAACCTTATAAGAGGGATGCCGTGTGGGGTTGGGACAGTAAAGCTCACGAGGCTCTTGAACAAGCTAGGATCTTTGTGGGACTGTACCCCCGACCCCACACTGCCTTAGTGGGGGCAACAGATGTAGATGACACACACACATAAGTCAACTTGCCCAATAAGGGAATAACAAATGGATATATAGGGCCCATGTCTGTCAGTGAGGGATGCAGATACGCCTTCACCTGGTGGATACTGTCCTGGGCCTCTTACAAGCATTTCCATGCAAGCTAGTAATAGATGAAGCTATTACCAAGGGTCTCACCCAACTCAGGGATGAATGGGCACTCAGAGAATTGACAGCGACAGAGGCAGTCATTTCCCAACACTGATGTACAGAACTGAGCTGAAGCTATGCACCTTACAACCTTCTGGGTCTGAGTTAGTTTTTTTTTTTTTTAATAGGGTTACTCAACAGTTCAAGTGTTTAGGTACCAAAGGCACACTGAATGAATGGAACCAAGTTCTCCCAAGGGCTATTAACATGCCAAATGAAAACCCTAGTATCAGAAATTGGCTACCTTTCTATGAATTGTTGGCTAGAGATGCCCCTGATGTCTCACAAACCTTAGAAAGGCTATTGTCACCATGGTTGGTGGCATTCCAGATCTCGACAGTAAAGCCCTGTTACTGAAGACACCACATGCTTTGGTTTCAGAGCATGGAAAATAAAGCTGGGAGTGAGCTGGAAGCTCCTTCCTTACTGGTGAGTTTTCACAGCGTCCCACAGTGTATACAGGCTGCCTAGGGAGAACTGTCACCAACCTTCCTGCTTGGCTGTGGACCCTGCACGCTGGCATGCAGAACGTGCCTACGTTTACAATAGTGGTAAGCTGCCACGAATGTAATTCACAGTTTTACAAATGGGTTTAAGGCCAACTGCACCGGAGGGAGTTCTCTGTTGTTGTAAGCTAGGAGCAAACCTGTGTCTGGAGAGGTCACCGGCCCCGTGGGAGAAGTGACAGCTACTGTTTGGCTGAATGGACCTGATATGCCTAGCAAACTGCCTTCCAAACA